AGATCAGATGAACCAGGTGATGGTTTCATTTTATAGTGTTTGGGGTGTTCATAATGCATGTTGTGTTGTGCGATCCCCTGTTGGACAGATATTCGTGAAAGTGAGAAGTATATTTTGTGACTGATTACAGACCGAATTTTGGATATATATATATTGCATGATGACCCATTGATCTATATAAACAATTTAGAAGAACATAACCTGGGCATCTGTTTGTAAGACTGCTAAACAGCGTGAACACTCAGCTGCAGAACTCCACATGATGACTTTTCTTCTTTTCAGTCTTCACGGACACTGTTACAGTGATTAAATTACAGTGACTGAGGTGGGCTGTATGTGTCACATGCATGTTAAAAACAGAACTTGGACCAGATTTAATAATATTGAAATGCAATTTGTGGAAATTTGCATTTGATTGCCTTCTGGGATGTTGTGCCATGTAGTCTGGTAGAAATTTACTGAGGTTTCAGGGGTACTTGTTGCCTCCCTCATCGGTGAGTGGGACTGCAAGCACTTCTAAAAAGTATTTCAGTTACAGGGCTGTTATAGAATTCTTTCTGCAACTATGGAAAAATATTTAAAACCTTTTTTGTCCTCGTCCACCTTTATCATTGCTCATACAAACTGCAAATGTTTTAAAACAGATTGTTCATTAAATGTTTTGATGTGAAGGATATAACAAGGAATGCAATGATTTATACAGGATGTTATTATTTATTTACATACATTTTATTTAATAATGCTTTCAGTAGTTCAGACTATATATCATTCAACCATATTACTGTTAGAGGTGTGAAATCAAGAAGGCTATATTGGGTTGGGCACATAGCTGCTTTGACTTTATTGAGGAACCTCATTGAAATTGACCACATGATACATCAAGGGGACTGGAGGATAATATTAAAATGCATCTGTTGTAAATTAATTGTGAGAATGTGAAGTGACTCAGGCTCATGTTCATTGGTGCTGAATGCTGTGATATTACTAGACGGAATCACTTAACCACCTCGTATGATTTGTACCTTTTTGTATGAAATAAATGTTTGCACAGCTTTATCCAGGTTTCAAACCAAAGAACTTCAAAGTTAATGCTTGTAGAATTTTCAGATGTTTCTCCAGTACATGGACTGATGATGCCCAACATGCCACCGCTTGCTTTCCCTCTTATTGTTAAGGCAGCCACAATCCTTCAGGGCTACATGGAAGACTCACACTCTTCAGCAGTGGAGGTGCGCTCATTCTTTCCTGAGACCTGGCTTTGGGAGCTGCAGTACACAGGGTATATTTATGAGTTGACCAATTTAGTGACTATTTCATAGTCTCATAGTTCATTTAAATATTCAGGAAAATGTTACATGTAAGAAGTATAGTCGTATGAAGGGTTAGATGATATTTCTTTCTGTTCATTACTTTGTCTATTATATTGACTGTCGTAATTTTGAAACATAGAGCCTGGGTTATATTCTTCTTGTGTTTTTGTCAGTAATCTCTAAAGTTATGATTTGAAACTGTAACTTTATTATAAAAAACTGCTAATGAAACATCTATGCCGGCAATAGTGATATCATGTTTCTTAATGACAGTGACAGTGGAGTGGTCACTCTGAAGCGGGACCTGCCTCACACGGTCACAGAGTGGGTTGGTACCACAATCTGTGTGTCTCCACAGCTCGGACTGGGCATTGCACCACCTGCACAACTCACAGCTTTCCAACCTTTCTTTTTGGACTATACAATGCCATATTCGGTGAAGAGAGGCGAGGTGGTCCAACTGAAAGTTTCACTCTTCAACTTCCTGTCCTACAGCCTGCCTGTACGTGTACATTGATATCATGGTATTTCATACTTATTGATATTGTATTTGATGTGCTGATGGACAGGAGAGGAAAGGTGTAATCCAGTTTCTGTATATGTATTTTATTTTAAATGCAGTATATGGTGTTATATATACTTCATTCATATTAATTTATTGCACATACAGATTTATTATATTCATGCCTGTATTGAAAAATTAACCTTTGGCTATCAAGCACATAGCTGATCATTTTACTGACTTAGCTATTCCAACTCATACAGACCATATGTACATTTAATGAAATTATTTCAGGTTTGGTGGCAAAGCTAAATTTTTTGGCATGAAATTTAACTCTAAAAATGTTTCATTTTATTACTGCTTATTTAGTCAGTAGAATTCTTATCTTGTTGCTTCAGGTGCGAATAATTTTTGAGGATTCACATGGAGTGGAACTTCTGAACAACAGTTCTGTTGCCTTGGCTTGTGTGAGTGAGCAAACGACTTTTGTGCAACAGTTCCATATTCGAGCATCAGATCTTGGTTATGTGAACATAACTGTGTCTGCTGAGGTGGACCCCATGTATCCTGAGGAGTGTGGTCCAGAAACATTGGTCCATGTAAAGTATGTACTGTCGTATGAAAGAAAGTGAGCTGTTCTTTGGCCAGCCAAGCATACAATTAACTTTTTAAAGAATTGGTTGCACCATAGAGTGAGTGATTGAGTGAATTGTAACATTTGTATTCTTGTATTTCAGAGATGTTCTTGTGAAACCAATCCTTGTGCATCCAGAAGGCTTCCCAGTAGAGGTCACTAGGTCAGCTTTCATCTGTCCCTCAAGTAAGGTCGTAATGTTCCATTGAAGTGCCATTGTCTTGCAAAAAGACCATACTCCTCTGGAACCATTTGTTTATTTTTTATAAAATATCTCTGCTTGGTTATCTTATACAGTGCACTTGGTTGGTGAAGTGTATAATGCCAGCCTGTTTTGGTTTATGCAGAGAATGCAATTAACAAATTTCAGTTTTATAAACATTCAGGCATGTATTGACTGTGATTTCTTTGATGTTGGTGCAAGAACATGCCAAAATCTATTGCTACTGCTTATATGGTTGAATCCCCATGATTACATTGCCATCCATCCAGAAAACTCTTGACTTCACTGGCATAGCTCACAAAAGTCAAAGGTCATGGTTTGGCAGAGCAAACAGCATCTCATAACTACTCATGCTACTTGTAAGAAATCGCTGATGGATTGAAAGTCTAGAAGCAATAAGACAGTGAATATATCAAAAATGTTACACTGTTCACACATTTCATATGGTGAATAGCCAAAGATATAAGAACTATTTACAGTATTAAACTGACACGTGGTCTGAAAATTAAGATGTGATGTTGTGGTTGCAGATTTCTCGGAGGATGTTCATGTTTTGTGGTCGTTAGAGCTGCCATCAGATGTTGTAGAGGACTCTGCAAGAGCTGAAGTCAGTGCTGTAGGAGACCTACTGGGACCAACATTACAGGTAAGAAATTAAACCTTTATTGTAAATTTTGAGTACTGTACACATAAATCTTTTGGATTGGATAAAAATATGTCCTCTGTGTTAAATTTAAGATTGCATGTACTGATGGTAGACACTCTATGAAATAAATATATTGTTTGAGTATTTTATAATGCTGTATCAGTGTAACAAAAGACAAAAGCTTAAACTAATATGTAGTACCATAAAGTAATGATACACCACCATTATAATAAATATTGCAACATGAAGCAAAATTTGTCAGCTATACAGCCAAACAAGCAGAGTTTATAGAAAGGAAAATAAATTATTTCTGAAACATTGTGACATGTTGCAGAATCTGGATGGGCTGGTCCAAATGCCAATGGGGTGTGGAGAGCAAAACATGATTCTGTTTGTTCCAAACCTCCATGTTATCAATTACCTGAATGCGACCCAACAAGAGAAGCCTGTTCTCAAAGCTGAGGCTATCAACAATATGAAGAAAGGTTAGTCATCATATTTTATCTAAACAAAATGTAGTGAACATGGGGAATGCTACACCACTTATTGTGATTTGGAATCCACGTGAAGCTGTGGGACCTCCCACAATCACCATATCATTGGGCATAAACAGAATCCCACCCTATTGGCACTGTCACCTCAGTGGTTCCTTTGTGTTTTCCAGATGGTCAGGGGGCAGAAAGATCAAATATGACCATATTTGGAGGCATAAAGGAAAAGAAATATTGGTACAGACAATAAATAGGTGTACACCTTCTGGTCTGTGGCAGGATATCAGCGAGAGCTGAACTATCGTCATTCTGATGGTTCCTACTCAGCATTTGGTGATGCAGATGATGAAGGGTCAATGTGGCTGACTGCTTTTGTAGTGAAGTCATTTGCCCAGGCTCGATCCCACATCTATGTTGATGAGGACGACCTCAAGGTCAGCATGCGATGGATCACGAAGAAGCAGCTGGAGAATGGATGCTTCCCTCTTGTTGGGAAGGTATTCCACAAAGACATGAAGGTCAGTTTCTAATTCTTAATTATTACTGTTGCTGGTGTTGATTCAGTAATCCATAATCCTTACAGTAGTCAGTGCTTTCAACCTTATGAATAGACTTGTGTTACTGGCTGTAAGTTCCAGTGTGTCACTTGTACAAAGGTAAATTTTCTATTTGTTTTTCCTCACTGGGGTGCAATATAATTATTTTCCTTCCTCAAGATGGTAGAAAAAGCATATCTTAGATGGAAGTTTTAACATGCATTTTATTCACGTAGTAAAAGATTAGTTCAACTTTTAAGATATTTTCTACTAACTTGCTACTAGTTGTTTAATCAGTTAATGATAATTGGTGACAGCAACAGAATTGATGACTCTGGTTTGATTCCAGTTAAGGGTACCGATTTTTTTACCATTATATCCAGACAAGTTCTGTCTCCCACCCAGCCTCCTATCCTACGGATACTTGCAGTTTTTCCTCAGGGGTTAAAAATCTGGAGTGTGAATTCACCTTTATCTTTTACTATGGTTATGAGTTTGTATGTTTAGTGGAATAATTCTGTTAATTATGCCGCTATGCTTTCTTGTACAGCAGAATTGTTCTATTCTTAATCATATTGATCAGTTATCAGTACCAGTTTGTTCACATTCAGTCAATTAGTTGAATTTTTCAGGGTGGTCTCACTGGAGAAACTTCTTCTGCAGCGTTGACAGCATATGTACTCATCTCGCTGCTGGAAACAGGGCTTACTCTCTCCTCTTCTGTCACATCTAACACCATCTTCTGTCTGAAAGGAGACTCAGATTCTGATGTCTATACACTTGTTCTTACTACTTATGCACTTGCATTGCTGGGAGAGACAGACATGGCAGAGGAGTCCCTCAAACGGCTGCTTGGCATGGCAAACAGGCAGCAAGACCTGCTTTGGTGGGAAAAGTCAGGTACATGGATCTAATGCCTCTATGATAATGTTTCTGGACTCTCTCCACCTAGCAGGTGTTTAGATTCCTTTGAGGTGGGAGCAACCACAGGGCAGTGTCATTATGTTAGGTGCGGAAGAGGCTTAATGCATTGTCCTCTTTTTCACTCTTATGTCATACATGGTTTTTCACCTTACATTTCTCACAAATTTCTTATAGTATAAAATTAAATATTTATCCCCCTATAAGTATTGTAAAAATATTGTTTGATTTGGTGTTTAATGAGGTAACCTAAACTTTGTACCTTAAAATAGAGTGACAGCTATCATAGGTAAAAGTGATTGAAAAGTATAATCTTGTGTTTCTATTTTAACAAGTTTTTTTTAATGTACAGTTTAATTAAATGTTATTCATATAGAGCATAGAAAACAAATTTGTTCTTTTCATGAAGTACTATTTGCTTTATTCTGTATGAATGTGTAGCTGTGTAGCATTTCACTGGTCCACTTATCGCTGGTGTGAGTTTTAATGCCACGGCTGTCCTGTTACATGTCTAGGCACAGCGTCACTAGGCCTGAGTGTGGAAATGACAGCGTATGGAATTCTGTCTCTTGTCAAACTTGGTGGGGAAGAGAACCTCATCAGTGCTCTCCAAGCTGTGCGGTGGATCTCCAAACATAGGAATGCACAGGGGGGCTTTGTCTCAACTCAGGTAATAATGCTGTTTCTTCCATTTACCTCATTTGACCAGATTTCAGGTTTACACTCCAGTGAGTATTTTGATTGTGGCCTTCTGCATTGTGATATGTGGACTTGTAGGTGGATGTCAGTATTTCAGAGGAACATACTGCCTTCATCAGTGCTGAAGATGGAGGTAGTTGTTCCACCAAAACTTTGGTATCTACCCCCCAATCCCACACCATTTTACAATCCAGAAGACTGTCATTGACACAGAGGTCATTAGTTAGAGTAGTCTGCATTTTACACGCTGTCGATATTTAATTACAGAGGTGATTGAAATTGGTTACACAGTAGGAATATTTCATTTGGAATAGTCAACACTGTACTGAATTTAAACCTGATAACTCAATAAACGAAGAGAAGTATAAAGAACTTGGGATTTACCCTTCAGTGGCAGCCTCCATATGTGGTATATATCTCAGTTTCATAACATAATGCTTGCCTCTATTGTTTGTATTGACCAGGTGTGTGTGATCTCCTCAATCCATAGGTAGGAAATAATTTAATTCATTGTCATCACTGAAGGAGTAAACTAAAAATAATTGTCTCATAGAAATGGCAAGTTGTCAGTGATTTTTAAACAAGACTGATCTGTTAGTTACTTGCATTCAATACAGGATTCATTTTATTTTTATTTTAGGATACTGTGGTAGCCCTGGAGGCAATGGCGAAGTATGCTGTCATGTTGCCGCACAGTGAGAATGGTCTCAGTGTGGTAGTGACTGCCACTGAGATGGAACACACATTCTACATCCACGAACATGAAAGACTGCTTCTGAAAAGACAACCTCTCCCAGTGTTACCGACTGAAGTGGAAGTGGATGCAGTAGGAGAGGGGTGTGCTCTGGTGCAGGTAGGTTACTTTCACTTGCTGTTTTTATTAGATTATGAAATTTTTATTTACTGATCTCATTTACCATCATCATTTGATCTATGGCAGACAAAGTGATAACAATTTTCTTTGCCCTTCAACTTATTTCTTTTACACACAAACTGTAACTTTTGCATTGCTTTGATTCTCACAAAATGCAACTATTTTCCCCATTCTCTTCCCCCATGTAGGGTTCCAGTGATGCCCATCATAATTACAGACTTTTTTGAGAGAAAGAAATACATTCATTCTGTAAACTTTCAGCCCTCCCCCCCCAAATTTGAGCATCAGAAGGTCCTATGTATTTGTGTGTGTGTGTGTTCTTTTCAGAACAAATACATATAAATTCTGGTGATTCCATTTTCAACTACATTTTGTTGTTCCTCAACTTCAGGGCCTCAAATGGCATTGAAAGCATTCATATTTATTTTCATGACATGATTTAATCAAAAGACATGTTTTTACTAATTACAATTTTTTATGTAGCACATTTTAAGGGAGAAACAGAGCATGGAAGCTGAATATATTAGTGGATTTTACATGTACAGAAAGCAATACATTAAATATGTTTTGTTGGATCTGTAACCTTATTTCCCTTGGGCCTTTGACATCTATTTACTTATTTTCATTGTTTTCCAGGGACATAACTGTCATAGAAAACTGTTTGTTATTATCTACTACGTATGGTTGACCCATTAATTGGAATAAATGGATGGGTGGATCAGATCCATGGTACACTATGTAATATTTCTATTTTAGACATCTCTCAGGTACAATGTGAAGAATGCATCAGGTAGTGATGCCTTTGAGCTGGAAGTGAGGACTGACCCTGTTGCATCAGTGGATAAATGCACCATGCAGCGAGTAGAGGCCTGTGTTCGCTACAAGTTGCCAGACCAGACATCCAACATGGCTGTCCTAGAGGTTTACATGGTGACTGGCTATGTGCCAGATCGTGCCTCTCTTTATCAACTGTCACATCAGCCAGATCTCAGTAAGCCTGCTGTTTTATTTGAGATGAAAATTAGTTTTCAAGTAGAGGTTATGTTTGTTCAATATGGGTCAAAATGAAATTTACCTAACAATTTTTAGTGTATAGCCCTTCTTACTAAATTCAGATGGAATATTTCACCATTATGCATTTCATGCGGAGGATACATAAATAAAGTGCTGTTAAAAGTTTGGTCGTGAAGATGACTGGTTTTGCAGATGTGAAACGGTGGGAGGAGGAGAAGGACCGAGTCAACTTCTACTTTGAGGAGCTTTCCACTAGGAGGCAGTGTGTTGGCTTCCTTGTGGTGCAGGAAACAGAAGTAGAAAATCCAGCATCTGCCATTGTCAGAGTCTATGACTATTACCAGAAAGAAATATCTGTGTCAGCCGTGAGTTCCTGTTGTCTTCCATTGCTTGACATTGAAGATAATGCTCGCTTCATACTTAAATGTGTGTGATGTAAAGATTAACCTCCAGAGCGATGGCACTGGTATCCAAATTCAGATGGTTCTTCCCTGATTAAAATCCAAAACCTGAAGGTTATCATAAATTCACAAAACTAACTCCATGGACTGTAGTCTGTATTGAGAAACTGACAATTACTCTACTAGTAAGAAATTTCTTGCCTTGTATGGAACCTAAACATTCATTACTGTATTTATAAGATCTCACCTCAAATTTGCATGTTTGTTATTAACTGCAGTTATGACACATGTTGGTATATTTCACTTTATATTTATTTATAGACACTATGCCAAAGTCTACTTTAAAACTTAATATGTATAAAGTTTATATGTAAATCAGAATTGAACATATCAGAGCGATAGACTGCATATAAAATAGTGTAGTAGAGTAGACAGTTTTTTATATATATATATTTTTTATAATAGAAATACAACATTGATGGGGGCTGCAGGAGTGAAATGCTACCTCATCCTCAGCCAGACATCTCAAGTGAAAATGCTACAAAACAATATCTAGACTATGGTGAAATGGATATTGTGTATGCCCTACCACAAGATCTCCAAGTGACTGCTCCGAGTATCAGTAAGTTGTCACAGATAAATTAATCAATCTTTATGTGAAAATGTCCATCTCTTTATATTGCGGGAAACCTGCATAAGTAGATTGTTTTTGTCTTCATTGTATATCTCAACTGTCTGTATACTGTTAGTCCTTTCAGATGTTGATATATTTTGACCGGTCAGTTTTGTTTCCATTGCTGCTGTAGTTTGTCCATCCACCTATGTAGCTATGCCATTCTGCTTCTTGTAGATGAAGTTCCAGTTTCTGTAATGCAAGCAGACACCAGCACATTAAACAGTGTGAATGGAACAGAGGGGCTGAATCCACAGTTCATGATTGTGGACCATGAACTGGAAACCCCATCTGGACAGGAAGGACCTATACCATCATATGCTTTACCTCAAGCTGACAAAGATCCTAATGCGACAGGTATCTTATAATCATGAACCAGTATCTTCATTTTTATAATAAAGCTACCAGAATTATCCCACATTACATTCTCTTGTTTATTGTTCCTACCACCCATCTCTAACATCTTCCTTGTCTCTCGTACACTTCTTCTCTCCCACTTCTCACCTACTCTTTTTCATGTGCTGTTCCCTCCTCTCCTGCTCCTGTGCCCTGCTTCCCACATCTCCAAGCCTGCCCTGTCATCCATCATTCCACCTATTTCTGCCTCCCCTACAGTTTTAATTCCTATTTACCACCTTACACCAACCTCTTATGCCTTTGTGTTCATGGTTGTAGTTTTTTGTGGTTGATGTGGTAGTGGATAGGGTGGTGGAGCCAGGTATGGGCATGGGTAGTGAGGGTTGTTGGTGGCAACTAATCTGAATTTATTTTTCACTAGATGCTGCCATGTCATGTCCCACCTGTCATGACAGTCCTCCTAGTGATTTCAGAAAGCTGTACTGCAAATCTGGCACAGTGTACAAACTTTCTACCAGAAAGGGCAGTAATGCCAGGTTCTTGATTAACATGAGCCCTGGGCAGCCTACTCACAGGATACGAAAGGTGGCAAAACTGGTGCTGGGAGAAGAATGCAGGTGTAAGCCACTTGAGAAAGGTGAGATATAGTAGAAATATTTACATTGTATTCCCATATTCATAGGTATTAACATTCTACCCATTTGATGTATCTAAATAAATCTTGTTCAGAAATGAATTATAGGTTCCACTGGATTACTTCTGAGTTGCAGAAATCTCATCTGGTTATACTTATGTCTCCTATTCAACTACCTAATTTTTAAATCATGAAAGCAAGAAATTGCTTCATCTCAGAGTATGTAGAATATTAGGTATAAAATCGTTTAAAATCTTCCTCGGATTATGTACTACTTTGTGCTGTCTATTGAGTTCCACCATTACTGTAGAAAACCTATGTAATAAGATTTGTATGGAGCTTCATAATATTACCCAATTAGTACTGGTATTAGAAGAGTGAGAACTGAAATGCCTGGTTTTATTGCAGTAGGAGGACATTTATTGCTTTTGGATCAAAATGCAAGCTCCAGCTCCGTGGAAGATGAAGGGGATGTAGATACACCTGAACTGAAGCTGAACAGCTCAATGATTCTCATTGGTGTAGAGGTACTGCCTGGCCAGCCTGAAATCGTTAAACTGGCTCGGAATGGTTGCTAACGCTTGGCAGAATCTCTGAAATTGGAATGAACTATAGCCAAAATGGAAGAACATTCTCTACGTGCCTGTTACAGCCCCTACTTTATTGTGTTTTCATGTGTCTACAATTTTTAATACAATGAACAATATCTAAGACAGAGAGCATGCTTAATCTTGTAAGATTTGAGGTTTTCACAATGGTGAGTATGAAGATTTCTGTCTTCTGGGTTGTTGCGCTGTGTAGTCTGGTTGATGTTAACCAACGTTTCAGAGGTCATACTGCCTCCATCATTGCCCTGATGACGGAGGCAGTATGACCTCTGAAACGTTGGTTAACATCAACCAGACTACACAGCGCAACAACCCAGAAGACAGAAATCTTCATACTCACCATTGTGAAAACCTCAAATCTTACAAGATTAAGCATGCTCTCTGTCTTAGATATTGTTCATTGTATTAAAAATTGTAGACACATGAAAACACATCTTATTGAATTTAAATATAAGCAATTTTCTTTGCTCTGTAATGCTGAGTACAAACCTACTTCTCTCACACTAAGAAAATGTGAGTAGTGAAAATTAACCTTTGCTGAAGGGTTAAGTTTCATATGGTTTCCACCTTGTCTACATACTTTCACAAATCCACATTTTATCCAAAAAAGTACACATTAATTTATAATTAGAGATGTTTCAAATTATTATTTTGTAATTTTTTTTTCCCTTTTCCATATATGCAATTTAAAGGCAGTTATTTACCTTTATCACGTAAGATTTGAGATTTTACCTTTATCACCTTTATCGTCTGTGTCATTGCTTACATGTGATCCAGCCGGCTGTGCATCACGCGAACATACTGCCAAACCAGTCAACTAGAGAGCTAAAGCCTGGCTAGCATCCCCATAGTATAAGGGTCTAAATCCTTTTTATTGTATGATAATGGTTAAACATGACTGAGAATGAGTACTGTTCAAAAACAGCAAGATGTAACTTTCTGGTTATTGCATAGCTTTCTTCTGTCAAGACACATCTGTTTATAAAGCTGTATATAAAAAGGGAAGCTCTTCCTTATTCAATTTATTCCTAAACACATTACGTGGTAGGTGTTGTAACATTATTTAAAATGAGAATTACATTATACCAAAACCATTGAGCCAAAGAGGAGATACAACACCATCATTAAAATGTTATAATTTTTGTTTAATTTAAACAATATTAGACTGCATTAGCAAGCTTGAACACACTGCAGAATACAACATTCTTTTTATCTTTGTTTTCCATGGAGTACTTTATATTTTTTGGAAATATTTTTAAAATATGCTACATACAAAATAATGTAATTTATTTTGTATATATGTAACACCAGGCACTACCAGTATATGTCACATTATGTGAAATAAAAATATAAAACATTATGAATTGAAATCTGTGTATTCTCAACTGCCATACTTACTGGGCCAGATTATAATTTCTGCCATTACAATAAGCCTTGGAATAAAAGACTATAATACTCATATATAGGAATGAACACCATCATAAGGAGCGATGCTTTAAAGGTAAGTCACTATACAGAGTATGAATTTTTTAATGAAATATGATATTTATAAACATTTGAAATAAGGATTTATCTTGATAGGATCTGTATTTGTGTGATATACCAATTTTAGTATGGTGAGTCTTTTTATAATAATATAAGAATGTTTACTAGTTTTCAACATGAGCTGAAAGTATATAAGGAACAACAGTAATATTGAATATATCAGAGATCAGATTGCTAGGAGGGGGGGAAACCTTAACATTTATTTTATATTTGGAAAGAGAGAGGAAATGGGATTGAGCTGCTTAGTTGTTTACTTTCACAGAAAGTATAGACTTAACCCTTATAATGTTGTTATTTAAGTCATAATGAAGCATAATATGCTTTTCATTGATCCATACCTAACCTATACTATAAACGTAATTTGGCATAAATTTAAACCCGCCTTCGGATCAATGTTATCGGTGCATACGTTTGGCAATGCAGCCGTGAACAGGAAGTTGAGTCAACTAACAAATCTAGTGCTAATGATACCACGAAACTGTAATGTAAATTTTAACACTATTTCATTTTGAAACTTACAAATATTTTAGAGTAAGCTAAGTTGTAATATCGTGCTTATAATTAAGGGTTATTTATTAATGGACACGTGATGACCTCCCAGCAAGATTGTACTTCCGTTCTTCAGGTGTGAGGGGCAGGCAATAATGGAAATGGCGTGGCAACCGCAAGAAGAAGGTTTAAGGCAAATACTGAAACTTCTGAAGGAGTCGCAGTCTCCTGATACAGCAACGCAGAGAGCTGTCCAACAAGTATCCTTTGTGTTATTTAAATTATCTGTTACAGTTTTGGATATTGGCGTACGTGGTAGGCACTCTTGACCTATGATGGGATGTTATTGACACTGTCCTGTTATGAAATAGCTCTTAAAATAGTACTATGATAAAACGCAGTAGTCTGTAATTCACGATATGTTACAACTTATAAACTGCACTAATTATATTGATATTTCGTTTGCAATATCTTAAGGGTTGATTCAAGTTTACGTTACTAGGTGTATTGATTGTTTCGAAAAATATGCTGGGTCGGTTAAGGAATGTGGTACCGGTATTCAGATAAGATTAATAAATAGGTTGGAGTAAGTTTCAAGGTGACTTTCGATGATGATAACAAAGTTGAAGTCATATTTAAGAACAAAAGCAAAAGGAAACCAGTATGTTTAATCAACACTTGTTGGCATGAAATCATGTTTTGTTACAGTTATTAGTATCAGAATTATGTATTAGAAGTTTTAGAAATGTATTTGATTACTTTAGTATTAATGTAATTGTAATTTGAAATTCTTGAAAAAATTGACATTGGTATTGAGGTTGTTAAGTCATAAGATTGTATGATATTGAATTGTTCAGTGTTGGAGAAGTTGTGAGATTGGAAACTTATGGGGGGAAACTGCATATTTATTTGCATTCCTTTAGAATCTGAGCAGTATGCAGCAAAATATCAAAATGGCATGTGTTCCAGTTACATTACCGATTCTTTGACATGTAATACTACTAACATGACACCATTTGCCCTTGTGCATTATGTGCGTTACATGTGAATGAGGAACTTTTTATTTTTCATTAAATAGCGGAACATGGGAAAAAAGTGTACAAAACAACACACGTAAAGTGTTTTAATGCCTTGTAAGAACAGTAACTACCGATTATGCTGATGGATAGTATCAGTGCAGTAATAATGAACTTTTCAATTAGTATTTATTAAATATTATTAAGGTAATTCAATTATAGAGGATAAGATGGGCACAACATGCAGCATTGTTGGGGAGATGAAAAAGTTATCCAAATGTTTATTGCAAACCCTGAAGAGGAGAAGCAACTTGGGAGACCTGGGTATAAGTGGGAGTGAACAGTGTTTATTGACATTATTTGCTCTCCTTTGCACCATTTAAGTAACCATATCATTAAATTTCATGTGTTTCATATCTAGTGCGTTGTCAGTTTTTATAACTAAATCATCACATATTTTAAAATATATTTTGAACACAGTTTGGTGTATTAAATATAATTTGCAATTAATGTTAGGGTGTAAGTAATATGAATGTACTCATAATGTTGATACACACATTTACAATGAAAGGTGTAGAATTTATTTTAATACACATTTATTACAGTTGTAGTTGGCAGGAAGAGAATAAATAGAATTTAATTGAATTTCTTTACATTCTGTATATCCTTTGTAGGCTCAAGCCAAGGATGTAGAACATGTCTTAGCACAAATGCAGTACTTGTTTCTAATATAAATATAAATTACATAGAAATGACAGTCTATAAGAGCTGGGGTAGCTCAGACTGTATGGTGACTTGCTACAGACTGGACGACCAAGGTTTGATCCCTGACGGGGCATCTGCGTCCAGACCGGCTCTGGGACTCGCCCAGCCTCATGTCCAATGGCTACCAAGGTCCTTTCCCAGGGGTAAAGCTCGGCCAGTGCATGACACTGACCCCTCACCCCCATGTGCCTACATGGCGTATAGTGGGACAGCTTTACTTTTACTTTTTTTTAGTTGTGACAGTCTGTTCATTCATAAAGTGTAGTTCAGTAGTTTGAGAATTACATAATAGATGCTCTCAATAATTCCAGTTGACGAAGGCTGTGTTCTACTGAGGAAGGTTGTGCAATTTTAGGAATTTTATTAGTATATATTGCATTTGTTTTTAATTCCCTGATGCCTTTTATGGAATTGAGAAGAATTCTGGATATTGTTTTGTGAAACGAGATTGTCATGCGCTTTAAAAGTATATTCACTCAAAATTTTTCTTTACCTGTTCCAGTTTGTTTCTTCACCTTGCTGCTGAAATTCTTATTACTTAAGTGAAGGTATTATCCAGAAAATCCAGTGCTGTTACATTTTCTAGCAATATTAAGAAACACAGTTGCAGCAATGTTGTAAGGCAATTTCGTGTCTCTGATGAGAACTGTAGCAGTGTTTAAAAACATACAGTGTTTCTTTATTTTAGAAGTAAATTAAGTGTTATTTTCAGTGAATCCAATTAATCTTGGAGAAATAAATTGTGAATTGGATTGATTTGGCTCAGTATGTGGTGGCAGGCTTTTTTGGACATAAGGATGAGCTTTTGGCATCTTAAAAAAACTCTTGTGTACTTGTGGATGTACAGAAAGTGGCAGGTTGCTTGTTTTTCATCATTTACGTATGTTTGTTTTATATTTTGTGTTATAATGTACATATTTCGGTAAAGAAATGTTTTATCTACTGTGGATTCATGCTTGGTGTTAAAAATTTTCAGTTTATCCCCTTGTAAACCTTCATGTAATGCTTAATTTTTAAGTTATTTGCTTTTTCTTACTTTTCTGGGCTGCAAATATATACATACCAGATTATGAGAGTGCTGAAGTTGGGCAGAAGACCTGTTTATGAAGTTCACATTAGCAGTCTGAGGCAGAAGACAGAGTCACCAGGTTTTACAATTTATGACGCTTCAAATTGTGGGGTGAAAGGCGTTATTTTCTTCTTGTATATATTCCTTAACTTTGACACAGAAATTGGAAGAATTAAATAAATTTCCGGACTTCAACAACTACCTGATATTTGTGTTAACTAAATTAACATCAGAGGGTGAGTGTGTATTCAGAAATTTGTTAGAAATGTAATTGTTACATGTTAAGAGACTTTGCCACTACAGTTTCTCATTAATAGTCGAAGATGTGTTGTGGATATGAAGAAGATTTCACATTTTGTTAAGCCATGTAACCTGTACCCTGGCTGCCTTTTTGACTTGAGAAAATTCAACTGCAGTATCCATTGAAAGACTATAATCCCTACATTAGTCTTCACAGTAGCAGTGAAAGAAATTCTAACCAACTTTCGTATGAAAATTAAACAACGGGTGTCTGTGAGGTCACCCAATCATTCTCAAACACAGTGCAGATTTTGAACCATTTTATGGTCATGGATGAGCACACATCATTGTACCTGATTTTCCACGGATGATCAGATTACGGCCTTGATTTTTCACTTGTGGACAAGCAGAGTTGAGCCCTGTTTGTAGATAAACATTTGAGGGTTGTATGTTTTATATGTGTTTATCAAGTACAAATTAAATATATCATTAGAGAAATGTGACAGCAGTCGAGATGCAATACATAAGTTTTTCATTCTTATTATCTGCATGTGATGCTAGTTTTAGTCTAATGTTTATTAGATATATAGAAGAGACTAATAATTACACTCTATTATTTTTGGGACCAACTTGCATTGATCAATAAAAGACAAGTATGATTACTAGTTGCAAGTTTTGCCATGAGAGAATTTTGTGGACTGAAAACAGGCCATATGAAGAGATGAGGGTGGTTTTATCTGTGCCAGAGAATTGTGCAGATGGAGGTTATGTAGCTGGTAAAGTATGGTATTTTTTGGCAATGGCTACTGCAGTGTGATTTGTAACCATGTGCGAAAATGCTGACAGATCTGAATCGTGAAAGCTCGGATTCAGTTGTTGGATGCTTTTTCTAATGCGTAAGGCAGGTACATGGAATATTTTACAAGATTATGTGTAGCTTATTTGGTTAAGTTAGTGGCTGTAGGCTAGACAACTGCTATTAAAGTACTGACATGCTTGGGGATCATTTTCTTCTCCATCACATCCATACTGCGTTCTTCAAGACTGTCCAGTCTTTTGGCCAGCTGGGAGTACAGTTGTCAGAGTGACATCGCTCTTTTCCATTTAGTGGCAAGGCCTAGCACACATGGAGATTTACCTCCACACTTGCTATACAGCATAATAGCATGGTGCTTAGGCACAGGGTTTGTTTATCATTTTGTATGATGTCACAGATGAACCTACAAGGTCTTTGAGTGGCCTGATTCTGAAGAATAATGTGAAGGCCCATTTTCACAAGTTCCTCCCAGTGGTGACAGAGTTTATTAAGCAAGAATGCCTCTCAGCGGTCGGCGATCCATCGCCTTTAATCAGAGCCACTGTTGGGATCCTTATCACAACTATTGCGTCAAAGGGGGAGCTGACGACATGGCCTGAGCTGCTTCCTGCTCTTTGCAGTATGTTGGACTCTCAAGACTACAATGTCTGTGAAGTAAGTTCTGTTTATCTTGGTGCTACTTTGACCCTTTAATTGCTGTGATCTGGGGTATAATTATTTAGCATAGATGTACCATTTTGCTATGTTTGGTTATCGCAGCTTTCGACTTCTATGATGATTGTGCATTTTTCGTATTACATCTGTACCAACCACTAAGTGTTTCAGTGCACTCTGATTTTTTTTAAGAAACTTACAGAAGGAAATGTTTGTAAGATTATATTGGGTGTTGCTAAATGTGTGCATCTCATTGACATTTGTCATTGTCACAATATAAAAATCCCAATGTAAAGACACTGACTGAAACAGCCCCGCTGGATTTCTGTAGATATTTAGAGATTTATATTGAGATGGGATTTGAATTGTTATTTTCACAGTTATATTTAGTAAGTGCTGTGATGGTTTTGAGAACTAAATTATCTAGAGTGATTGTTTAATGTCGGCTTTGGCTCTCAGAGGGCTGTTACGCCACGGATTATTATTATTATCCAAGGAATCAGTAGGCATTGCCTCTTCTACTAGAAGTGACATCAGAATCTATTTGTTCGAGGGTCCTTAAAATATCGTAACTTAACGAGAAAATGTTTGCGTTTCATGGGGCTGGAAGAAATTGCTTATGTTTCATGGATGCCATGGTGCAAGTAGCTTATGGATAAGTTTTGAAAAATATGAATACTTTTACATAAGAAGACTGCAGAGTCCTTGCTTGAGTGATCCTGTGCATAGGAAATGAATTTGTTGATTTCATGTGTTGGCTATAACCGTTTTCATTTTAGGGTTCATTTGGAGCACTCCAGAAGATCTGCGAGGACTCAGCTGAGCTGCTGGATAGTGATGCTCTTAATCGTCCACTTAACGTTCTCATCCCAAAATTCCTGCAGTTCTTCAGACATTCAAGTCCAAAAATAAGGTATCAGTATAATGAAATGCCTGTTCATGGTTTCTGTTGCCTTAAAATTGAGAAAATTTATCGTGGACATCTGTGGTTGGGACTGTAGTAATTCGGCACCAAACTGAGGAAGTGGCACTGAGAAACATCACTTGGGTGTTCCAAGGAGTTTGTGTTACATTATTGTTTTATACTAGAAACTGTTCAAATTTGTGTACTGCATTGGATATCTCTTTTTAAAGGATTGCTGAGCAGTCTAAGGCCATGCATGCCTTAAACTGCATGGATACTCGATCTGTATTCTGTGGACTTACAACAACAGCATTATCTAATTCGGAATTGTTTTGATAACTTATCATAGTTTACTTTGTATCTTCACAGATCTCATGCCATTGCTTGTGTAAACCAGTTCATCATCACCAGGACACAGGCATTAATGATCCACATTGATTCATTTTTAGAGGTATGGTGTTAGATAAATTAATGCTTTCCAGTTAAAACTGCAGATTTATTATTTAAATGGATAGTAATTGAATTATTACTGATTGCAGAATCTGTTCCACCTTGCCACTGATGATGATCCAGAGGTGCGTAAGAACGTGTGCCGTGCTCTGGTGATGCTCCTGGAAGTTAGAATGGACAGACTTATTCCTCACATGCATAATATTATTGAGGTGTGTACTCTTTCTTCCTCAGCCCAACTCCTTTGTCTCCGTCTTTTTGTCATCAATTCATCGTTCAGAAAATCTAATGACATCGCTAAGAATTTTGGTCCTTTGAAGTATTGTATAACTTTGGTTCATATAATTGGGACATGATAACATAGGAATACACTGTATGGGTGAAAGTGGAATGTCACAAATCATACTATTGATGAGGACAGTTTATTTGAGGTATGTGTCATGATGTATTTGTTCTCGTCGTTTACCGTCACACCATTTTAACATTAATGCTCTCCCCTCCAGTATATGTTGATGAGAACCCAGGACCCAGATGAAGGAGTAGCCCTGGAAGCTTGCGAGTTCTGGCTTTCATTAGCTGACCAACCAATTTGCAAAGGAGCGTTATCTCCGCATCTAACGAGGCTTGTCCCTGTCCTTGTACGAGGGATGAAGTACTCTGAGATAGATGTAATATTGCTCAAGGTAAGTCATGGTATGACCTCTGTGTGAATGACTGTATTAAGAAAATCCTTCACAAAAATTAATTATAGTGATGAAAGGTTTTATTTCAATTGTTAATTTAAGATACAGACTTATTTTATACATGGTTAGTTTCAGTCGGAACAACAGTTTTAAAGTGATTTTTTTTTTTGGAAAGGGCAGGTGAAATTAAATACTGTTCTTTATATCACTTAATATCTCTTGCATTTGAGATTGGATGAAACTTTGTTAGCCCTGTGGTCAGTGGTGTCCAAATTAGAGACGTTGGGTTACATGACATTGTACCTTGTCGGTTTGTTTCAAAATTTGGGAATGTTTTTGAATGTCAGTAGCTGGGTTATAATAACGACTGAGAAATTTAATAGGTGGGAGTATTTTAAATATTGACATTTATCATACAGAAACAAAGGCTCTGCGTGGTTATTGCAGTATTGTAAAGCTGTTCTTCTCGTCTACACACATCACTATTTGCTAATGAGGTTAATTCTTTCTAAGTATGTATTTGGGCATCAGAATGTGCGCTGTTAGGCTGTAATTGAACAACAGCAAAAAGACAGGCAGTGTTTTAAACAATTGTGCTTGAGGAAATTTTATTCCTTCAAGAAGGAAAATTCTTTGATTGTTAGACTGAATTTGACAGATGACCTGAAAATGGTTGAACAGTTTTGGACACCACTGTGTGATAATTAAGATAACTTGGAAACAGTGAAGGAGTTTGAGTTGTGATCCGTACCAGTGCTGTGTGTGCCACTGTTTGGGAACCACTGGTCTCAGGCTCGTTGCTATTCACTTATATTCTGTCAGTTGGTTAACGTTCTTGTATTTTTTCTTTCTTTTTGTTTTGAATCCAGGGATCAAAGAACTTGAATTGGCAGCAGGTAAGGACAGAACAGTGTCTGGTGGTTGTAGGTGTTCTCCTCCTCCTTGTGGACGATGTGGTTTTTAAACTTTAGTTCTGAGATGGCATGGGCAGAATGTTGAATCACTGCTGTACATGTGATGTGTATTTCACCTGCTTGTGTGAAGTGTTCTGATCCCTGTCCTGTTTCTGTCACAGCAGGCCTTTATGAGAAATGGTGTCAGTCAAATACTGACGCTCCAGTCGAGTAAGGTTATCGTAGTAATTGTAAACTGTGTGGTGTAGGGACACACAAGTTTCATGATTTTAGTGTATAGCGGCCAAAGACAGTGTATATGAAAGGTAACGGGATTTTTTAAAGAAATTATTATGATAAGGTGGTTATTGTACTGCACAGTTATCCGGTTATGAACATGTATATTTCCTACTGTTGGTGGTGCCAGTGGTCTTTCGCCTGTAACATCAGGAACCGTTTGCATGTGATGGGAAATAGGTAGGAGCAATTGAAGCACTTTAAGGTAACTTTCCCTTAAATGTGGCTTTCAGAAAGTTTGGAAACGTATATTTTGCACAACATGTTTTGTATTGCAGTTTGGTTTACAAAAGGCATCCCTCAAAATGACTCGTACTGTGGTACTGAAGTTTCAAAATAAATGTGCGTGTAATGTTTGAGCAGGAAGGTGGTCATACTGTCAATAATCAAAATAAATGACCTTCAGAGATATTAATCATTTTTTTTATAAAATATGCACCGATTATTTGGGTTTTCTTTCTTTCTGTTCTCTGACTTCATTCATCCCTCCATCTTTTCTCCCCCATTTTTCTCTTCCTTGCTTCCTGCCCTCCCTACCTCGTGGAAGTATATACATTATGAATGTTTTGTTAATTTTTTTTGAAGAACTGAAGTTGTTGTTATTACGATTAAAGTTGTATGTTGAATTAAAATGTGTTTTTCATAAGTGGATTCCAGTAGGCCAGTGATTCCCAAACCAGTCTGTAGTGCTAATGGTACATGTGCTAGGAAAACTTGTGTAAGAGATTTTAAATGAATGTTGTTTATGTTTATTAGGAAATATGCACCCCATGTTTTTTTAAATTTTTATTTGGAAATGTGGAATCTCAGTGCTTATGTACTGTGCCACTTGCAGGACTTCCCATGCCTCAGACTCTGCCTTCTTTTTATTTATCAGTGTTAGACAGCCAGAAGATTTTTCAAACTTTTCCCAGGACCCATGCAAAGTTGATTTGAGTTATTGCCTGGGGTTTTAAACAACTGCTGTAGTTTGCAGTCGTTAGACAAGGAATGGCAAACATTTTCAGCTTGCATGCCAGAATTGACAAATAATATAAATTTGTGTACATTATCATAATTTTTAATGTTAACCCCTTCAGGTCATCCTGTCACAGTCAGTTTCACATTCTTAGAAGTCATGAGCTGGTCCATTGAAATTCAAACAAAATAGATTGGATGTGGTGTGGTGTGGTGTCATGTTAAAGCAAATTAATATCAAAGGCTTAAAAAGATGTTACTGTCATATTGTCATGTTTATAGGAAGGCATCTATTTTATGTTTATCTTGTGGTAGCATGCTAACAAAAATTATTTTAACTGCATTTATGCCAGTGGTTTGCCATCCGTTCCTGTCTTGCTAGCCCATAGTGTTATAAAGTTTGAATCCTTTATTGTTTTTGTCTCCTTGTCCGATATTTGGCCAGTGATCAATTTGTGTTGGTTAGAGGAGATTTTATGCCTTTCTTTCCAGAGGAAATACCAGTATGTGGTTCTTATGACGACTTTGTATTACATTACAGCGCAGCAAGTATGTACTTTAAGTGTGAAGCAGTGCCTTGTCTTTCTGGAATAATCAGACTTGATTATGTGGTAGCCATATTCATATTGCGTACGGAAGTGGTTTGGTGTTATGGTAATATGAATATTGTGACGTGATATTCATATTCAGTTCATGAAAATATGTTTATTGGTTCAAAAGCTATTGCAGACTTAACCTGTGGATGGACAGACGTGGGCATCCCATGATGATACCATGAAGCTGTCTTTGCTTATAAGGAAAATGAGCTAAAACTGCAACTTTAGTTTATAATTTGTATTCCACTTTGTGGTCTTATGTATCTTCCTCTTAAGTTTTACTCTCAGAAAGAACACTGAACATTCTTTGCCTTGGGTCATTTGTGTATCTTGTATCAGATATAAGAGAGATTGTCTTTTCCCCCCAGCTGTGGCTTTGGAGTTGGTATGTCAGCCCCGTGACGGATTTAATTTTACATTTACTGTTACAGGGTGATGTCGAGGAAGATGAAATGATTCCAGACCGAGAAGAAGACATCAGGCCAAGGTTTCACAAATCAAGAACTCACACTATCAAACATGCCGAAGAAAATGGCGAGGAGATAGAAGAAGATGATGATGGAATGGATGATGACAGTTCGTTGTCAGATTGGAACCTCAGTGAGTGTTTGCCTATCCCCATTCTTGTCTAATTGTAACAAGTAATGTTGTCCGTGGATGAAACTTTTACGTGTTACTATGTCATGCATTAGACTGATCACAGTGGATTTTCTGCAGAAAGATTTGGATTAAAATGGATGGAATAAGTGAGCAGCTTATAACACTTTATGAGTTTTTTTGTGGTTTATATGGGTCACATAAAGGAAGTGGATTAAAACTGTAATTAGAGCATAAATTGAAGTATGAGATAAATTGTAAGTCTGTCCCTTTGATGTCTGTAACATTGTACTAGATCATAATGTGTGTTACAATTGGTGTATAAACGGCATTTTAATAAACTGGTATAATAACATGTGAGTATAGTGATTTGAATGGCACATCATAGGGTTAATTGAACGTGAGTTTTATTTGTTACATGTCACAGAAAAATCAGTGCACCAGAATTTGTTTTTCCATAATAAATTGTAATCTGATTTATTGACATTTCTGTTTTGTTTTCCAGGGAAGTGCAGTGCTGCTGCTCTGGACGTGCTTGCTAATGTGTTCCGGGAAGAGCTGCTTCCTGTATTAGTGCCGATCCTTAAGGAAACACTTTTTCATCAAGAATGGGAAATTAAAGAGTCTGGCATTCTTGCTTTAGGGGCCATCGCAGAAGGTATACAATTTACTTTAAATGCAGGTGAAAATACAAATATATGAGGAAAAGCGCTAATTTTGAATATTGTTTATGGAGAATCAAATGATTTCTGGAAGTTATAATTATTGTAATTTTTTGCGTGTCTGTACCCCCCTTCGCATTTTTCCTTCAAATCCGTGAAACCTGTCTGTGCACTGTATTTGCATGTGTTAAATTGTTAGATTTATTTTTCAAGCTGACACTGGAGAGTATGCATGACCAATTTTGCAGGATGTGTTGGACAGTTGAGGTATTACAGAACATTTTCTTGGTTTATAAGTAACTATAAGAAATGACCAAACTTTTGTTTCAGGCTGCATGACTGGAATGATCCCACATCTCACAGAATTAATTCCTTACCTGATCAACTGTTTGTCAGACAAGAAAGCTCTTGTGAGGGCCATCACATGTTGGACACTTAGCCGTTACTCACACTGGGTTGTGAGTCAGCCTCATGATAACTACCTCAAGCCGCTCATGACGGAGGTACGTTATTGTGGTATATTTACTCTCCTTTAAACTTTCAGACTTCTCCTTTCTTTAATTAGAATACCTTCCAGTTTTTGTAGCACATCTTGTTTCTTCACGTCATATATATATATGTGTGTGTGTGAGATGTGTTGTTTGGTTACAGCTGTTGAAAAGGGTGTTGGACGGTAACAAACGAGTTCAAGAAGCAGCGTGTTCAGCATTTGCGACTCTTGAAGAGGAAGCCTGCACAGAACTGGTTCCATATTTGGGATTCATCCTGGAAACATTGGTGTTTGCCTTCAGCAAGTATCAGGTAAAGTATTTCATTGCATTGATTTATAAACATGTATGATGGCCATTGTATTTTAACACATTGGAATGCTAGTGCCTGAATGACTGGCTTCCACCTAAGGCAAAGCTAATTATCTGCAGCATATTTTTAGATTTGACAATAATCATAATTATATAACTAATAGACGAACATTAATGATTTTCAGAGCTAAGCAAACGTCATTGTGTAAGGGCCAGACTAATATTTCTTTCAGACGAGACATTATCCATTATCTGTTATTTGAAATTATGCCAGTATAGAGATTGAAATGTTAATAATTTCGGAATTTACTGTGTTCTGGAGACGTTCTGTCTACATCTTCAGGTAAAAGTACATCTGTCTGGGGCGCATTGGAAGAAGCTTAGTTTTCATGAGCCTACATCTTGAAATGCTGTTGTCTGGCCTGCCAGCCATGTTACACCAATACAGTCTATATTATTTCTAGTTTTCAAAGGGAAAAACATGTAACTAATGTTCTTAATTTTTTGTTAATGAAATTTTGACTTGGTGCACACTGGGAAGTTCGGCGGGCCACATTTCGTAACAGTGATTTGAAGTCTGGTATACGGAGGAATGGCCTATGTCCTTCTGTTTTGTATGTTCCTGTAGTTTTTGCAGAGCATTAATGTTTTAGCAATTTGGTATTTTCTGCAGACATGTGTGATTCTTTATTTTTATAATTTATGTCGTCTGTTGATAAATTAAGCAGAACTTTAAGGTGACATAAGAATTAAAACAAGCTGTAACTTGATTTCTGTTCATCATTGCGGCTGATACTGTTCTTGCCCCGGCTGTTTAGCTTGGATCTTAATGTGTAACATTTTGATTTCAGCACAAGAACCTGTTAATCCTGTATGATGCTATTGGCACGCTGGCAGACTCAGTTGGGCATCATCTCAATAAACCTGATTACATCAATCTTCTAATGCCACCTCTCATTCAGAAATGGAACATCTTGAAGGATGAGGATAAGGATCTTTTTCCTCTTCTAGAGGTTAATACTCTTCTTGTAATATCCTGCTTAAAATCCTTAAATTGCTTTGTAGGTGCTTAAGTTCTAAAAAAAATTTAGAGGAAGGAATGGCATTAGAGACATACAGTGGACTTTTAAACTGCAGAACAAACTACAGACATATTATAATTTACACTGCAGATATGATGCCAAAGTTTCTTCACTTGCAAAATAAAATACTTTTTTATTTGTACAATTAAAGATTACAGTTACAAAGGAAAATTACTATAGCAAATTTCCTGTTTAATATTACATTATTTATTTATCTATTTTGTTTTTGTTTTTCCACCTTATACGGTATTGCATTATAAAACATGTTACTAACTCTATCATGTATATGATCTCCCCAAACAGCTTACCCTGCTGCTTATTACAGCAAAATTAGTATAGTTTGCCATTTCACATTCATGTAATTGTTGTTTATATAAAATTTCTCATGCTTGTGTGTTATATAGTTGGACAGATGATATCTCTATTCTAACAGCAAGTTGTAATGTCTGAGGAAAAATTAATACTGTTGTTTTATGAAGACTTTGAATATTATAGTTTAAAAGTTGCCAAGAGTTGATTGAATCTGCTGCTGCAATTATCCGTCCAGGAAGAGAGATGTGGGAAATTTCTTGATATGACCAACAGCATGTTGCACCTTTTTTTTGCAAGAAACATTCCATTCCCAGTCATAGAAATTTATGTTATGACTCTGAAACAGTGAAGGTTCTTTATTGTCATCATTTGGCTTTAATACAGAAACAATTATTTTGCTTGGTATAAGGTCAGTCTGCATTTTCTGAGCTGTCTGTGGCATTTTCAGTGCCTGTCGAGTGTAGCAACTGCCCTGCAGTCAGGTTTCCTTCCATACTGTGAACCAGTGTATCGGCGGTGCGTTTCTCTAGTTGAGCAGACACTAAACCAACACATTGTAAGTAACAAACTTGACGTAATTCTTTAAAGGATAGACCATAATCAGATATTCCGCCCTGAAGATCTGATATCTTTGGATGTCACAGTGTAGGTTTTCTTGTAACAGTTGGTAATTTGTATGTAGGCAAACACGCAAAATCCTGAACAGTTTGAGGCTCCGGACAAGGACTTCATGATTGTGGCTCTGGATCTGCTGTCTGGGCTGGCGGAGGGTCTCGATGGCCACATAGAGAAACTAGTGATAAACTCAAACATAATGCAGCTGCTCTACCAGTGCATGCAGGACCCGATGCCCGAGGTGCGCCAGAGCTCTTTTGCACTGCTTGGCGATCTGACAAAGGCTTGCTTCCAGCATGTTCTACCTTGTATATGTAAGTATGAACCAGCTTCTGATGGGTTTTGTGATATCTTGGGGATCTGTCTTGTATTAATTTATAATGCAAATATTAATTATTATACGTTAACATCTGTAGCACAGTGGATTGTCTTACGACAAGTCTTCTCCACTATAAGTTGACACAGCATTAAAGTAAAGTTTGTCCCGCTACGTGCCATACAGGCGCTTGGGGTAAGAGGAGGTATAGCTCCTCCCTTTCTTGACCTCGGCACTAGATGGGGGTGAGTGGTCAGCATCACGCCCCGGCCAGCTTTACCCCCGGGAAAGGACCCCGGTACCCATTGTAGAGGAGGCTGGGTGGGCCCCAGAGCCGGTCTGGATGCAGAGGTTAGAGGAAAAATCCTCTGCCCTTGTCGGGGATCGAACCCCGGTCGTCCAGCCCGTAGCTAGTCACTATACTGACTGAGCTATCCCAGCGCATTGTCGCAGCATTATAACAAATAATATCTCTATCCATATATTTACAATCTTCCGATTTGATAATATTTGAGAAATTCTTTTTGTTATTCATTATTGTACCTCTGTACCCTTGATTTTGCTGATTTTTTTGCACTGTGTTGTATCTTAAGATAATGCTTAATGCTTTGGTTTCAAAGTATTGTAAGTAGAGTGTTTGATATTTCTAGCACATCTTGCTCCTAAAGGCTGGCTCTGCAATGGTTGAGGGCGCAACTTTATGCAGTGTTTGCCATTGGGGTCTCCCAGTCATTCTAGTTTGAAGCTTACATTGGTTCTGCATAGTTGTCGTCGACAGAACATCTGGATAGAGGATGACACTTTATTGTCATATACATAAGTTGTCCATCCTGATTAATGTTTCAGAACAGAGTTTCAGGTGCAGTGATTATATGCATTATTTCCCTTCTTTGCAGCTGACTTTCTTCCTATTCTTGGGCAGAATTTAAATCCAGAATTTATATCAGTGTGCAATAATGCTACCTGGGCTATCGGAGAAATATCTATAAAGCTTGGTAAGTGTAAAATACAGAAACAGCCTTAAGTCTGAAATACGTTTTCGCCAAACTTCATGGGATTATATCATATCTGATATTCTGGCACACCTTTATATAACCGTCACTGAAATAGGAAAGTTATGCAGTGGCAATTATTTATTGTGTGGAGTGTTTTATACCCGCACATGATACGGAGAAATCCCTGTTGTTTCTTTGACGGTGACTGGATTTAAACATAAAACTGAGAAGAATCTTAAGTTGTGGGCATTTCGAGTTACTGGGACTTCAACTATAGAAATTGGAATATTTTATTGGTAAAACTTTAAACTTTGAAACTCACAAAATTATAGCCATTGTACTGATTTCTGGTGGTTGTGGAATATGCCGATAAGTAAAATAAAAATGGAATCGGTAAAGGTAATTGGTGAACCAGTTCTTACCGTAATGTACAGCTAGCTTTATACATTTTGTCTGAAAGTGAGAGGACATTACATCTGAATAGAGATGTTAGTTACGCACATTAGTTAGACATATAAATGTCTCTGAACAAACCTTGCTGTAATTTATGTTTCTAATACAATAATGCCATTGGTTTTTTTGTGTTTAGGTCAGGATACAAGACCATACATACCACTGGTCCTTAGTCAGCTGATTATAATAATCAACAAACCAAATACTCCAAAGACATTACTAGAAAATACAGGTATGTTTTAGATCGATGATGTCATTATTAGAACATCTCAAGTGCCGTGAGGCAATGTCAAAAATAACAATTTATTGCACAGTAGAGTAGTACAGTTCTGATTTATACTTTTCTTTGAAATGTAGAAGCTCATTGATGAGAAATTAATCCTATTTCATTTTTAATTCATTTATGTAAGAGTTCAGGAAATTTGGGTTTCAGTGTGTTGGATGTATATAACAGATAATTTTATTCCTTTAAGTTTTTCTACAGCCAATTATTAATGTAATGAAATGGCAAATTCTTTTTGTTACATGCATAATTGCAGTTTTGCATATGTAGCTAGATTCCGGCATTTACCAAATGATCTTACCCGTTCAGTTTACAGGCATCATTTGTATTTAGAATCCACTTGCAGTGAATTCTAAATGATGTGTATTTGTGTGTGAATCTCGGTATAAAAGTGTTGAATGGAAACGCGCCTTTGTTGGGAAATGTCCTTAGTCCTGTGAATACAGGGTGAAAACCAATGTAAAAATATTTTTATAAAAAGTTGGTTTCTTTTGTAGAATAGAAAATGAAAAGAAAGAATTTGATGAAACATTGTCTACTTGAATATTTGATATTCATGTGTTTTAGTTCCTTATTGTGTTTACTGAAATTTATCCAAGATGGAACACTCGTCAGAGATGGGAAAGAAGGAAATGTTACTGTCAGTGGCATATTTTAAAAGGGACTACAGTAAACATTTTTAGAAACGAAATTGATAACTAAAAATTTGTACTATTTAATAAGTGTGATGTATGTACATTGCACCGGGTACTGGTTGGGAAACCTGAAGGGAAGAGACCGCTGGGGAGACCTAGACGTAGATGGGAGGATAATCTCAGGCGGGATCTATGGGAGATAGGAGTTGAAGGAGACTGGATTTTGTTGGCCTAGGACAGGGTCCGGTGGAGGGCTTTGGTTAATTCGGTGATGAACCTTCGGGTTCGGTAAGCCATCTAGTTAGTCAGTTAGTTATGTATGTATGTACATTATGTGCTTAGCATTAATATCTGTCTTGTTATGTAGGTCATTAACACATGGGATATTTCATTACGACCTTTTTGTCATCAAGAAGAGCCTGTTGCCCTGGGATTTTTTGTTGACTCATTTAGATGTGCTCAGGAATTATCTATGTAATTTTTTCCTGCCGTAGATGTTTAGGGTTGGAAATTTTGTAAGTAGCAGTGTTTCGAGATTTATTATAAATTTAATTGCTGGTCTAAAAATTCATCAACCACATTTTTCGACAAAGAAGCAGGACACGTAACGCACCCGTAAAGCAGAGTAAATTTCCGCAGTGGTTTAATACAGAACTCTGAATCTATTCTTATGCTGAAGCACAAGCCCGGTCGCCTGTTATCGCTTGCTGTACACAATGATCTGTCTGGTAATTTAATTATCAGACCTTCCAAGCAGATTCCAAAAGGATTTTTAACAACTGTACAGAGGGCTGTATAAAAATATTCTCTTAAAAAGTGTGAATGAATTATATGTTCCATGTTTTGGACGTGAGATTCACACACATACTGTGTAGCTTAATTCTGTGTTATTGTTCACTTTATATATATGTATATGTACAATACATTTTCATGCTTCACTCAAAGCATGATGGTTTATATCATTATTATTATTTTAGATAGAATTTCTATTTCACTTAATTCTACTGTGTCATAGTTACTCAAGTCCTACTTGGCTGTGTTATGTCATTCCTGTATGATACCCATCCATTAACTCAAGCTCAGGGAAGATGGAAGTGTTGGAGTTTTGTGTGAATTAATTTCAATGCTTAACTAATTTTTGTACATTCTTAGATATTTTTCAGTTTACATTGTTAGGCCCATGTTGTGGTACCTCACTAACATGCCACTGCCTTGGAACATGTTTTGTCGACAATGTCCCTTAAATGTCTGTCTTTCTCTTTTCTTCAGTTTTGTTCACGTTATCAAGGAATTATGACACTGAATCAGGTGTTTGAATTGGATCTGTACAATAATTGGCACTAAAACCTTGGAAATTATTAATTTTTCTGGAATATGGGTTGGTGAAGTGGGACCTTAGAGTGGTTAAAAAATCAGTCTGGCCAACAGTAGTGTTCATATACTGTTAATTTATACTTGAGATTTTATTGAAGTGCAAGTTTGTGGTCCCTAGTATGTGTGCCCATTTACTGTACGTACAGCTGAGTACAAGGAAGTTGAATGGGGCTCATTGTAGATGTGTGTTGAACATTTATAGCAACAGTTAAAGAGTTTGTGGCATTATGTTTAAATTAATTATCAGTGATGATATCTTTAGCATTTTGTTACATCAGTGAATATGTTCAGTGAATGTAAATAATTAGAGCTATGTTACTGTTTTGTAGCATTTTTTTTTTTCCCACCACAAAGCTGTCTCCAGTTTGCAGTTAATTAGAAGTAGTACCATCTGGCCAAATGGAAATAATTATGCCTGTGTGAACAACTTGTGTTCATTTAATCACCACACCGTGGTATAGCTCCATGCCTTTAGGCAGGCAAAAGGAGCGAAAAGAGCGTTTAGTAGATTTAAGAGGCAGTGGCATGAGTGTTTCCTGTTTTCACATTTCAGGGTTGTGCATTTACACCACAGTAGCAACACATTTTTATAAAAATTAATCTTATATTGGTTGTTGTTTTTTGCACACTTCATATATCTTAAAGATGTTTCTTTACAGTAAAAATTAACACAAATTACCATTGTAACTTTTCTTGTGTGCCTATTGTATTTGTTTTCTAGCATATTGCAGTTGCTTGATTATGTAGATATTTGACGGTAGATGCAAGCACTGAGGAGTGGGAGAGCTGCATTGGACATTCTTGTTTCATTCGTTAGATATCATTATGAGTACTGTTACTTTTTGTTACGAGTGTTGCTGTTAAAGCTTGATGCATTTGGAGTAATTGAGCAATTACATTAATTTACATCTACATGAAATTCAAATAATTTGTGACCGCATTCGATTCTGTCAGATGCCCAGCTCACTTGCAGCTTGCACTTTTTCCCTAACGTCCCTCACGTGCAGCAGGTGCTGCAGTCCTAAATGTCTACAGAAGTGCAATCAGTAAAACACAGGGTATTCAAGACTTGGAGACTGGACAGTAAGGTTCCCCAAAATGTCAAAAATGCAACCCACAGAAACAGGGTTAACATTAGCATTTAATTGCTGAGAAAACTTGATTTTTCCTGTTAAAAAATGTTTACAATAAACAGACTTTTCCTCTAACTTTATAAGTCACATGCAATCCAGTTTTGGTTGGAAAGCCTAGGTGGGGGGTGATATTAAAATGGATCTTAGATAAATTGGGTTTGGGTGTATGAATTGATTTTATCTGGCTCAGGATAGGGACTGGTGAGTGGCTTTTGTGAACTTGGTAATGAACGTACAGGTTGTGTTAAAGGTGGGGAATATCTTGACTAGCAGAGCACTATTTTCTGAAGCAGGGCGCTGTTCTGTGGAGTCATGGCTCAGTTTTACAATATTTTAGTTGTATATTTTTGCCACTGATATATTTCTGCCCCCACTGCAGAACTTTTGTCTGGCATTGGATCCTTGAAGGTGAATCATTAATCCTTGATCACAGCCAGAAGTCAGTAAGTCATTTGGATAATGATTTTGTGGGAACATCTGAATTGTTTTCAGTGGAAGAGTTAAATAGTAAAACTTTGTAGGAAAATGGCAATCCTATGAAACCAACCTTCAGACAGTGGCAGGTGATAGCCGAGATTTTCATTAGGTACAGTAAAATCATACAGTTCTTTTTGTATGTTTATATTTACCAACTTTTAAAATAAGTGCTTAAAACTAACAAGTAGACTTTACTTTTGTAATTCATGTTGTGTTCGAATTGTGTGCAACAGAAAACCATTGTTTAATCGTCTCTTTGATCGGATAATGAAAGGCCAAGTAGATCTTACCTCATCAACTCAGTTGATTCATGAGCAGTGAAAGGTTTAGTTAAGGACTGTTTGTCATTTGTTTTTAATGCGTGTTGTACTTTGAAACCTACTTGGATGAGAAGTGGTACATTTCACAGATGAATCTTTTTCTCACTTCACATCAATAGTACTAAGTGGTTTTTCTACAGGCAACTGTCTTTCACCTCCATCCTTTCTGATGTGTTGTTCATAATGGTGCTTTTGTTTCATTCTACAGCATGGTGTAAAACCCTAAGAACTGCATAGTAAATTATAAAAAATTCCTAGATTTTACCTAAACCCAGCCACTCTCAGTGTACTCTTGGTGCTGTGTCCAGGATGGTTTGAAGTGAAAGATTGCCTGTATGTAGATTGAGTCCAGAAATTTATTGACCATATAATAAAATTTAACATTGACGCGAAACTAAGTAATGCTGCAGTAGACCTCAGTGTTTGTTGATGACTGTGACGGCACTTTCTGGTCTGTATGTCACTAAGGATCTTCCACTCCTTACTCCATCTTACATGAGTCCAGATATTTTCCTGAACTTCAAACATTATGTTAAGGTTTTTTTTTTTTAAAAAAAATAAATTTCAGTCTCAAACCCTGGGTGTGATGGTTATTGGAGAATTTTGTTACTGCTTCATAAATTAACTATAAAAAGATCATGGTTTATCGAGACGTATGTATTTAACAATAATAATCAGAAGGAATAAAGATGGCTGTGTTCTGTGACGTTACACTAAGTAATCTTGTAGAAATTGAAGTTTCAGATGTGCTTACTGCCTCATCATTTGGGCTTATTGCCCTGATACGTGCTGATGTTGGAAGCATTGAGCACCTCTGAAACATTGGTCAGTTTCTTTGAGACCTCTCTGAAATGTCAGTTGGATTCTATGAAATTGCATGTTGCAACGTCCCAGAAGACTCATCTTTATACTCGCCATCTTGAGAACCTGGTATCTGATCAGGTGGGATGACTCACCCAGCTTCATATGGCTCTATCGAAATACATTTGACCAAGCTTTAATGGCAACTAGATGCAAGTGTGTTTGTGTGTGGAGTTTTGTTTTTTTATAATTGGCAGAATTGTTTGATGGATTAGCCCCACATGTGCAGTAAAGGAAAAAAAATTAATGCAGTTTTTATTGACATGTTTTTAACCCCTAAGTTATCTAGGTTAATCAGATAAAAAAATCAATATCAAAGTAATACCGTATGTTTTTTGCTTGTAATATTGATCATACAGTACAAAGAGTTTATGTTTCTGAGTTGTTGTTTTTTATGTGTTCTGTTTTTGATTGGTTTCTTTCTTGCCCGCTCGCTCTAGCCATAACTATTGGCCGGCTAGGTTATGTGTGCCCTCATGACGTCGCCCCTCTGTTACAGCAGTTTGTTCGCCAGTGGTGTGTAACCCCTTTACTTTATATTATTATAATTATTATTATTATTATTATTAATGTACATTACATTTTATACTTAGTTATTTTTACATATACATTCTTTCCCAATTGGAACTGACCAGTCTGCTAGATATGTCTTTTATTTTCTTCAAAGCACCAGATGTTGTGAATTATTTTTCTTTTGATTGTTTGATCGCTTGATGGGATTGTGGTCAACTCAGCTGCACTGGTTACAATGATGCCAGCATGTCAGACATTAAATTTAATTACTGAATATCACAGCCAAGTAGTTATCACTTCTATTTCATATTCAGGAGGTCCTGGAGATTGGTTATCCTGACTGAGGTTTTTATGTTTTTCCTTGTTCCCTACAGGCATATGCCAGGATAGTACTTTAAATTAGACCATTGCCGCTTCCTTCTTAGCCCTTCCCAATACACTATTCACTGATCATCCCATCACTTCACACTTTATACTCTGATCCACTGACAGCTTTATCAGATAAACTTTAAAAAAAATTAATTTAATTCAGACTGAAAGAATTTGGCCTTATTCTGAGTAGTGGGATTTCCTCTGCACCAGTTGGAATGGTGACTGTCACCAAATTGGTATTTGTGAAAGCAGGGGAAGAGCATTAAAGCGAGAAGGGCATCCTCCCTTTCATACTCTCGTCTTTTAATTCACTGTGGTTTATGCATGTAATAGGAGGAAATAGGTTTTGGGTAAGAAGCTGTTGCATTTAAAGCTCTTACCCATTCAGAACCAGCTTGAAGCCTGGTATCGTTGAGTTACATTTGGGAGAACTTAAGATTATTCGAATAATTTATGAGATTCATGAACTTTGTGAGTTGTGTAACAGTTGTGAGATATATTATAGTGCCTTCAGGGTTGCAAAAGTCATAGCATTGAAAGCAGCGTCTACTGTCTCCATTTTTTGTTGCAGTAGGTTGGTTTGTTATCTAGGAAACAAAGTGGGATGTGTTTCCGACTGATTGAGAATGGGAGGAGGTGCTCCTTTTGAGGGCCACTGGAGAAGAATTGGTCCCTAGTTTATAATTTCATGCTGGTAAACACAACAGCTGCTGGTTTGCAGAAGGAATGGGTATCATCTCAGAAGTCGTCATTTTGATTGGGAAGATGTATATGAATATGGGATAACCCATTTTCATTGATTTGAAAAGGACCTTTCTTTGAAAGACTTTTCCTGAGTTAACTATAAAATTCATACTTATTTAAAGAATAGAATTATTTGTTTAAAACTAATGTGAAAAATAATCATAGAATTCAGGTTTTTACCATGTGAGGTTTTTCAAGTCTCTGTCATGAACTAATTCATGCTTTCATTTTATTATTTCCTAATTTCTTATTATTAGCTCTTTACTGCAGTGAGTGTTACATTTCACAATCTTCCTTCCTTTGTAACTCAGTAAAAGCCTTTGTTTATAGAGCTTTAAAATTTTATGTAGTTTGTTTTGATAGTAAAAGAAGGTTCCTGCATTTTCCCCAATTTTTTTTAACAAACATTAAAGCAACTGAAACCTGTTCTTTGCTTTACCTCTGTCAAGTTCTGTTCTGCTCATACTGTATACGTGTTTTTGGCTTTGGTGATCTGTAGAGTGAGAGTAGTGAATGTAGTTTCAGTAGTTTCATTGTTAATACCTCTTTTATTATTCTCAATATCATCACATTACTGACAGATAGTTTAGTAATCATATTAAATTTTAAAATATTGCATTCAGATATTTAAGAAATTAAAAGTAATTAGAATTCTTGTATTGTTTCAGACTTACATAATAAAATTGTTTCTCAAGTTTCATAGTTTATTGATAATTTGTTTGGAAATACATGGGAAATTATACAGTAAAAATGTCTTCATGGCAGATTAGAAATAATTATTCTACTGACATTTTCATATCAAATGAAGAAACCAGATTGTGCTTTAGTTTAAGTTTGTTATTTGTACCACTATATTATTGTATTTAATACTGTGTTTTGTTCATCAAAATGCAGCTCAAACAACTCTTTGGAAGTGTAAAATTATTATATGTGTTATTGGCCAAAGTTTATGTTCATCTTAAAGGATATAGAAGTTTCTGGCCTGATTTGATAAAAAAGAAATATGGCTGTCTTCTTGGTTGTTAAGTCGTGTAGTCTGGTAGAAGGTTTTCACATGTTTCAGAGATGCTTGCTGCCTCCACCATCAGAGCAGTGATGACTGGAGGAGGCACAAGCTTCCCTGAAATGTTTATAAACTTCTACCAGATTACATGACTTACAACCCAGAAGACAGCCATCTTTGTTCTCTACATCATGAGAACCTCAAATCTCATTGACTTTAGAAATGTTAAGTACATACTTGTGTGTATAACCATGAAGATGACTGAACTTTGTCTGGAACTTGTCAATTTTGAGTGTTGTATTTTGATGGGTTCACACAGATTATTAATTGTAATTTAATAGCTTCAGTTTGATACATGGAATAATTTGAATGTGAGTAGAATGATTATTCGTTTCTGTTAACAGATTGAAATTGCAAAGGGGTGGGAGACACTTTGTTTAGTGATGTTTTGTGTTGTAGGTGCACATCATTGCGCAACATTCGTGACAACGAGGAGAAAGATAGTGCATTCCGTGGTATGTGTCAGATGATTACTGTAAACCCGGCAGGAGTTGTGCAGGATTTCATATTTTTTTGTGATGCTGTTGCATCATGGATGAATCCTAAAGAGGACTTGAAAGAAATGTTTAACAAGGTAATTTTAACTTATCATGGCCAGTGTAGCCTGTATTTTAATTTTGTTTTGAAAGGGGGGGGGGACAAATTAGAGCTACATAGGAAGTAGATTTTTCAGACTTACAAATTTTGTATTTCTACAGTAGTTTGTGGGTTTTTTTTTCAGATCCTCCATGGATTCAAAAACCAAGTGGGTGAGGAGAATTGGAAAAGGTTTTCTGATCAGTTTCCTCCTCAGCTCAAGGAGCGGTTGGCAGGCATGTATGGTGTCTGAACTACTAACACAGGTAATTGCACAGAAAAACCTTGGTGCTATCCGGTAACTGGTCTGTAGGGACCTGATATTTGGGTAAGGTAAACTTAAATTCTGACTTTGATAAGATTTTAAGCTGTAGATTTCATCTGCTGGCTGTTCACATTTGTATTGATGGAAATAGATGGTGCCCCAATAGTGTCTTATATTGTAACTTGATTACTTTGTACAGAAACATTATTTCTTAATAGCAATGAACATGTTTTTGTGTTTGTAAATTTTCTGAAAGAGGTGTTTGGGTTGTTCACAGGTAGTGTGGGGACAAGACGCACCCTCGTGTGTGATCGGGGGTACAACAGGGACCGGGGTGGGTGGGTGAAACCACTTTACAAGAGGAACATCAACTACAACAGTTGCCACGGGGATATACTGTTGTCAGCAGCGGGGCAGGGTGGGGCGGGGTGAGCCTTTGTGCGGGCCGCAACAGTTGCGTCATCAGGG